AGAACATGCTCTAAGAAGCCACTGGTCCAAGGAAGATTAGAGACCCATGGGGCAGACCTGGACCTAACCTACTGCCTGGAGCCAAGCCAAGTCAACCAGTAGCCTGAAGCAGAACTGCCTCAGCCAACTCACAAACCACGAGCTGGAAATACATATATTTGTGTTGTACGCCACTGAGACTTAAGGGCCAGTTGTTATGCAGCATAGTTGAGTAAAACCCTAACTGGTACAAACGGACATATTAAAGAGTTGCTAGTCCAACCCACTGATCTTGAAGCTAAAATTGTTTACTAGCTCTGTGATCCTGGCCAGACAGTTTGTGGTCTCAGTTTCATCATCTGTAAAATGGAACTACAGTGCCTGACTCGCCAGGTTCTCAGGGATGAAATACGGATAAAATGGTAGCTGTGCAAATGTTTGCTCAGTGTCCTAATCACAGTAATGCTGCTGTGAACCCTGAACTACGGATGGCCCCCACTGCCCGCAGAGCAAAGCCAGCATCACTCATCGTGGCATGCAGATCGCCCGTGTCTGCTCCTGCAGGCCGTAACCACTTCATTTTGCACAACCCTGTTGCTGCCCCTTGAACCATTTGCCATTCCCCAAACTCTCTGATCCTCTCCCCAGTTCTTTTCTCACATTGGTCCCTTCCCTTCCAAAGCCTTTTCCTGCCGTCTCACCTTTTGGAAACCTCCGTGGTGTGACCAAGATACCAATCCTCCAAATGGCTTTCCCAATCCCTTTAGCTAAAATTAAGAAATGTTTCCTTCTACATACTTAATACTTTTTACTTGTATGACTGGCATTGGGCCCAAGTCCATCACCCACACTGAGAATAAGCTTTCTGAGAGCAAGGATCATTGTGTGTTCATTGTCATCTCCCACGGCCCCTAGCCTAGGAAGTGCCATGTGCATGCTCAGTGTTTGTTGGTAAGGAGTATCTTTGTCCAGGTCCAAGAAGCAAAGTCAGCATAGCATACTCTGGTGATAACGTTTCTTCCGTGCTCTAGTGTGTTCCCCGGGAGATGAAGGACTGTACTGACACACATGTGCATGATGACCCAAATAGCTGCCATTTATCGAGCACTTATTCCAGGGCAGGATCTGCAGTAATCACTCTGCACATACTGTCTGATTTAAGTCTCCCAACAGCCCCCTTCATTAAATTGATGAGACATGGCAGAGACTGTTATGCATTGCCCCTTTCTTCTTGAGCACCTAACTAAACTACACTTCCCAGAGTCCCTTGCACTTAAATAAAAACACGTGACTGGTTCTGCCCAGTGGAGGGCGAGGGGGAAGCAGCAGGTGCCCATAAAGGCCTCCCCTGGAATGCTTCCACCTCCTTTTCTGCCTCCAGAGAGAAGGCCACCTTCTGAATACACCTATATTGAACTGTAATACGATCATAAACTAAATTTCTGTCTTGTTTAATCACTGAGATTTTAGGAGTTTTACTTGCAGCTGTTACATGAGAAAACTGAGGTTCATTTTAAATCACTTTAGCTAGTTATATAAGTTAGTGGCAGAGGGCTAGGATTTTAACACAATCCTAGCTGTCTCTGATGCCTGTGCGTCTAGTAGGCTACATTGCCTCTCTGCTAAGGAAAAAGAAAAAAAGCACACCCAAGTGAAAGCAAACTTCCTACTTGGACAAAACCAGGATTTTTCAAACCATGGCCCCAGAATGTTGAACCCAGCAGAGTTCTTCACTGGGTGGTTTTGTGAAATTGCTGAATTGTTGCTTACTTTAATAAACCCCTTCTCACCTGTGCTTGTACCAGGAAGGAGTTGAGGGTGACACAGAGGTGCAGTTCTTGACCCTGGAGAACTTTGCGCTTGTGCTGTTATTGTCACCACCATGATTATTATGAGGAACACACCACAGCTGCTGCTACCTTGATGTCCTTCCCAGCATTTGGGAAGTGTATTAGTCAGGGTTCTCCAGAGAAACAGAACAAGCTGGAGATACAAACATGGAGGGAGGGGGGATTTATTATGGGATTTGGCTCGTGCAATGATGGAGATTGAGAAGTCCTATAGACCTGCTGCCTGCAAGCTGGAGAACAGGAAAGCTGGTGGTATCATTCCCTCTGGGTCTGAAGGATTGAGAATCAGCAGGGCTAATGTGCAAGTCCAGGTCTGAGTCCTAAAGCCTGAGAAGCAAGAGCTCCAATGCCCAAGGGCAGGAGAGGATTTATGTCCTAGTTCAAGAAGAGAGTGAACATGTACTTCCTCTGCCTTTTGTTCTATTCGGGCCTCAACAACAAATTGGGTGATGCTTCTTTCCTCAGTCTACTGACTTGAATGCTAATCTTCCTGGGAACACCCTCATAGACACACCCAGAAATGATGTTTTGCCAGCTCTCTGGGCACCCCTTAGCCCAGTCATGTTGACACATACAATTGACCGCCTCACATGAAGGCATTATGGGCTCCTAAACTCTTTCAGTCTCCTTAGTTCACACGAAGCTCACCTCCAGGCTACAGGGCAGGAGGGTGAGCTTCCCCATACTCCCATTTTACAGATGAAGAAACTGAGCTCAGAGAGGTTACGCCAAGGGCATGCCCCAAGTCAGGCAGCTAATGATGGCCTCCAGACTCTGCATTCGTTTGTGCCTTGAGGGTTTTGCAAAATTCTCCAGCTTCTTTTCTCCCAAATCCCTGTCTTCTTGCCATCCCTTTTCTCATTCCCCTCTAGGGCCATCCACTTAGAAATAAATGGACAAAGTCATTGGGCACCTGCATGCCAGGTGTCACGTGGAGCACTCACATGTGCTAGCTCATGTCATCTTCCCGGCACTCTGTGAGAGAGGTAGAATTATTGTGGTCTCCAGTTTACAGATGGGGAGAAACGGGCTTAGGAAGTGAGAGTGGCTATCTCGAGTTGCACAGTGAGGAGTGAGCCGTGGGGAGGAAGCTCAGCCCCCGTCAGTCTCATGGAAGCCAACTTTGGCCACTGCACCAGGAACAGCCCGGGCCGCCCCTCCTCCACCCTAGCTTCACGGTGGGAGCTTTTGTCCCCAAAGTGCTGGACTGAGGTGGGCTCTCAGTGACCCAGGCTAGGGTGCCCCGTCCTTGCCTATGACAAGGTGAATATTCACTATCGTTACCAGCTTGGGGACATCGGCCTTGCTGAGGTTATCAATTATGCATGGTCCGGGGCTAAGCCCCTGTACCCTGGGAATTGAAGGGAGAAGGTGCTTTCCACCCAGGAGTGGAGAGTGGCAGCACGTCGTCGGTCACTTGCCTGTCACTTAACCCCTTCCCTGCTGCCTCAGCGCTGGGGACGGGGTTGGGCCTGCAGTTGTGTATTGTGTGTCTCTGCCAGGGCCTGTGTTGGGTGAGCAACTGCCAGATTCCTCCTCCCCAGGAAGGCCCAGCCAGCTAGCCCCGGCCATGCCCATGCGGTTCACTTCGGGCCTCATTAGTGCCCCAGCTCGGATTTACACAGATGTAAATCAGGTCATTAGCACCTCAAGCTTTGGCAAGGAGGTGTGGCCAAAAGGGAATTTCAGGGCGGCGGGGGGTGGGGGCGGGGAGCAAACTTTGAGCCCAACTTAATGTTTAACCTCTGGGACAATGGGACTGCACGTCCTCCCCAGCCTAGCCCAGGCGGCTTCTGGGGAGAGGGGGGACAAGGACACGGAGTGACAGATGAGCCTGGCTGGGTGGGTGGGTGCGAGGAAATGCATGGCTAAATTATACATCAGAGACGCAAGGTAGCCAGGCCGGCCAGGAGGACGCAACTTCTCCAGAGAAAACCCCAGTTCTCTCCCCGAGCACTCGACTCTTCTTTTGTCTGGAGGAAGCCCCTGAGCCCCTCCTCACACAGAGTGAAGTCTCCGTGAGGGAGAAACTGAAGGGAAGATAATTCCAGAAGGGGGAAAGAGGGAGGGGGGAGGGAGAGAGAGAGAAACCCATTTTCTGGTAAATAATTAACAACAAAAAATGTTTCCCTAAAAGAAAAAGAAAAAAGTGCCCAGTAGAACTTTCAACTTCTCTAATTTGGAAAGTCAAAAGTTTAACTGGGCGCCAGGGAGCCGATGCCAAGACCAGTTTTCAGCCAAGTCATGCTGGCCGTGCCTGAGCTGTCACCCAGCTCAGGCCATCGCCTTGGGAAGCCGTGGTACCTGGGTGACTGGTTGGTGGCCTCTAGATTGCCTCTGGGTTCCCCGGCAGGCAGGGAGGCGGCACTGCAGGTATCTCCCCCTGGGTGCTGTGGATCCCGCCCTGGGCTTCCCAGAACCAGTGAATATGTTATGCTGGTTGAAAGTCGATATCTAAGAACATCAGTTTGGAAGTCAAACCTGAGTCTCCCATTCTGACTTGGTCATTGCCTGCTGTGTAACCTCGCATAAGTTACTTAACCTCTCTGAACCAGTTGACTTAGCTACAGAATGAGTCAATGAAACCACTTTTGCAGAGTTGTCGCCAGGATTAGACACAGTATATACCAGGGGTCAGCAAACTAATGCCCATGGGCCAAATCTAACTGGTACCTGTTTTTTTTGTTTTTTTTTAAATAATGTTTTATTGGAAAACAGCCACCTCCATTGAATTACTTATTGTTCAGGCTGCTTCCATGCTGCAAGGGTAGAATTGAGTAGTGGAGACCTTGTAGCCTGCAAAGCTTAAAATATTTGCCTACTAGCCCTTTGCAGAAAATTTTGCTGACACCTGGGATATGTAAAGACACCTGGCACATGTGGAGGAGGTGCAATTAATATCATTAGTATCATCCCAGGGCATCCAGGCCTGGTCCTTCATTCTTGGCAGTATGGCTCTTGCTTCTCTTGTTTATTTCCCTGCTTTTAAGGACAGGAGCCTCTGGGCAGGCAGTAGGTGCTAAGGACAGCCCCTGTCACCCTTGTTAGGATCAGGCAGTCCTCCACCCTTGGTGGCCACCCAGGCACTTAGCAGATGTCAACCTGGGGCCCAGGAAGAGGAAAACCCAGAAGCCAGTGAGATCACAGCGGGCTCCAAAGGCAGAAGGACCCCAGGGCCATGCAGCTCTTCTTGGGAGCCAGCATCTGCCTTGGGGAGAGGGTCAGGGAGGAAAGAAGGCAGGGAGCCCAGCCCTTCTAGAAGAGTCCCTGCAATGCTGCCCCAGCTGTGGAAGGAAAGTGCAGACGCCTCCCACAAAAGAGCAAGACAAATGCAGGTCCATGATGCACACATTATTCCTGCCTTCTCAAACGCAGCACGAGTGCGGGAATTCAGTGAGTCCCTACGAAGTCAACAAAGGCGACCTGGTGAATTGGGCAGATGGAGAGACCTTCTCAATGAACATTGGTTGATTGATAGCATTGCCTTCCTTTCCTTTGCACAATATATCCCTCTCACCGGGGCTATCTCATTTAATTCTCACAGCCACTCTGGAGGTAAACATTGATCCTGCTTTGCACACAAGGAAACAGACAACATCTCTGCTCTCCAGGACAGGGCAGCAAGATTCAACCAGAAGCCCTCAAAGCCCTGTCGGCTGCCTGTCTCTCTTTCAGCATGCTTTGCGTGACACTTGTGTGTTGGCCTCAATTGCATGGATCATCCTCTCACAGTGTAGCAACAGGAACTTGAAAAGTAGCCTCGCAAGCCCTGCCCACGGTGGCCTCCTTGCCAGCCTCATGGGCTGCTGGGCCTCCTACGGGTCTTTCCATGCAGTTGCTGTGCAGTTGCCATGCAGCTGCTGTGTAGTTGCTGTGCAGTTGCCGTGTAGTTGCTGTGTAGTTGCATGTAGTTGTCATGTAGTTGCCATGTGGTTGCCATGTAGTTGCCATGCAGCTGCGTGTGGTTGCTGTGCAGTTGCCGTGTCATTTCTGTGCAGTTGCTGTGTAGTTGCTGTGTAGTTGCCATGTAGTTGCCGTGTAGTTGCTGTGTCATTGCCATCTGGAAGAATAGCGAGGCCTGTGGAGAGCCCAGCTGAAAATCTTCCTGCTAGCAGTGCTTTAAGTGGTATCTATCCACCACCTCCAAGTGTGCAAGGACCACACACCTGGCCAATCACATCACCCACAAGTGTCAAGTCGCTGGACCCCAAACACTGGGCCTTGGCACCATGAGTGGAGCACCCGCCATGTGTTAGGCATGGTGAAGGGCTTCCCGTGCACTGGGACAGCGGTTCTCAAAGTCCCTGAGACACTTTGGGTCTTCGAGGTCAAGACTATTTCATCATATTTTCATAATTCACTTTTTTCACTTTCATCCTGTCTTAAGTATACAATAGAATTTTCCAGAGGATGCATGAAGCATGATGATGTCATCACTCTGATGGCCAGTGGAATGTTTTCTAGAATTTTCCAAGACGAGGTCTTCGGGGTGCTCAATAATCTTACGAGTGTAAGAGTTCCTGGGATCAAACCGAGAACTGCTGCACTACTGCCGCCCTTTGTTCTTAACCCTCCCGACAACCGTCCCTAGTTACAGATGCGGAAACCGAGACTCAAGGAGCTAAAGTGACCTGCCCTGTGTCGCCGAGTTAGGAAGCAGCTGGGCTGGGACTGGAAGCTGGTTGTGTCTAGGCCCACATAGGACGGTCTCTCTCCGGCTCTCTCACAAAGACACCGCTCTGCGGGTGGACGCGGTGACTCGGGGTGCCAGAAGTCGGCTCTTTGGGCCTGTCTTCTGCTCATTCAAGCAGGAGGAGGGAGGCGACCCCTGGGCTGATCCCTCAGTTCCCTCCGGCTGGGCTTCCCCAGGCCCAGAGCGCAAAGTGCCAACCTGCAGTGACAGGTGAGGACAGGGCCGGACAGTGCCAGACGGGTCAGCTGGGAAGGGGCACGGGGGTCAAAGGATCGGCCACATCTATTCTCTGCTTTCCCTCAGGTTTCAGTTTTCCCCTTTTTAATTAGGATACAGAGTCTAGTCAGATTTCAATCCAGTGGCTTTGCCAAGAAGAAATTACTTTTAAAAAAAGAAAGAAACCAAACAAAACCTTTTCAACGCGGAAAGGTTGGCGCAGCCTTCCCTTCCTCCGGGCTGCTAATGGCTGTCCTGACGGCCGAGGCCAGGACTGGCTTTGTCCCCGGCGTGAATGAGACAGGACAGCACCTGCTTGGCTCTTAATCAAACAGCGCCATTTAGAACGGGTACCGGCGACGCCATTGGCTAAGGAGCCCTGAGAAACAGAACCCCTGACTTTTGTTGGGTTTTTTTTGTGTGTGTGTGTGTGTGTTTTATTTTGTTTTGTTTTAGATATTTTGTTTTTCTGCACACTTCAAAAGAGGCTTGGGTGGCCCTGGGATAGCCTGTATTCTTAGCTCGTTTCCCTCCCGTGGGGCTTTTGTGGGCTTGCTCCCGGTGTGGGTCGTGTTGTTCTTGCCCATGGATTTGGGCTGTAAAATAAAGAGATTGGATTTTTAAAAGGAAACGAATGTGGCTAGAATGGAGGTGCCCTGGGTGGCTAAATCATACCTGCAAACGTGGGGTCCTGGTAGCGCCTGGGCCTGCAGTCTTTTTCTCAGGTGATGGTCGAACCCCATCCACCACGCCCACTCAGCCTGAAACCTAGGACTCACCTTTGACCCCCACCCCTTCTGCATTGCCCACCCAATCCCCCTCCAAGGTTGGTGGATGCTAGCTCCTTACCTGGGCTTAAGCGTTTGGTGTCACAGTAGGAAAATGAGTTTTGGCGTGAAGCCACCAGACCTGCATTTGAACCCCAGTGTGGCAACTTCTAGTCTGAGCATGACCTTGGGCAAGCATACCCCACGTTGCCCTGGCTCGCCTTCAAGTCCACACAGAGTTCCCTGTGCCTGCAACGGTCTCCACCCGCTCGTGCCCGGGGTCTCTCTGGTGCCGAGGGAGCTTGCTCAGCCCTGAGCTGGGCAGCCAGCATGCCCTGGGTAGAACCCTCCAGAGAAGGCATCCCCCAAAGAGGAACAGCTGGTGGGTGACCATCTCCGCTTCCTCCTCCCCTTGTGGGCATGAGATGATCCTGGGCACGTGACTCCTCAGCAGGTCCCCAGCAAGAATAAGTCCCGGTTGTCCCTAACAGTGCCTGTGACATCTCTCCCCTCCCCACTCCCCCACTTGCTGGGATCACCTCCCAAATAAACTACCTGCTCCCAAGCTCTTGTCCTGAGATCTGCTAACACAGCAGATGCTTAACCTCTCCAAGCCTCCGCTTTCTAGATGGTGAGAAGGGGCTGGCAATACCCCCCTCACAGGGCTGTTAACGACTAGCAACGTGTAATAACCCTCCCAATGGCAAAATCCCAAAGTGCCTCTGCTATCTCCCAGAGCCCACGCCTGCTATGTGCTCCACAGGACTGCAGTGGGTACTTACAATGTCTGGTCACTTCTTGATCACTGCAGGTTAATATGTAGTGCACACAGGCTAAGGTTTGGAGAATACATATCACATGCTTCCGCTGAAGTACTCGTGTTCCTATGTGTGCCCCTGTGACAAATGTAAAATGACTACTATAGAAAAGAAGGGAAATGGAGCTCTCCCTCTGGGTGAGAAGGCAAACTCGCTAGTCATTTATCAGAAAGATTTCTGACCCTTTTAGAAGGAGCATGGAGCAGCAGAGAGACAGTCTGAATCCCAGCCCTATCACATAATAGGTGTGCACATTCGGACATTTCCTGCAGCTTGCTGAGCCTGTTTTCCACCTTGCAGAATGATATTGAGAATAGTCAATAATATCTGTAAACCCTTAGACTAGACACATTTCTCTTGTGAGTGCAGAAATGAATGTGATGGTCTCTGCTTTCAAAGATCTGAGAATCTCATTGGGAGATAGGATCAGGAGCAAGGATAGGAGGCGCAGAGCGTGACTAGCTCTTTGGGCACCAGCATTAACTGAGCACCTGCTATAGGCTGAGCACTAAAATGGAGAGTCCCCCTCCACCAGTACCTATCTTATGAGCCTCTTTTTCCCTCTTTTACCACCTTTTTCCCTCCTTCCTTTCTTCCTTCCTTTCTTCTCCCCCTCCCTCCCTCCCTCCCTCCCTCCCTTCCTTCCTCCCTTCCTCCCTTCCTTCCTTCCTTCCTTCCTTCCTCATGTCTGTCTTCTCTCTTCTTCCTTCTCTCTTCTTCTCACCCATATTCTTTCATTCCTTCCACTCGAAGTCTCCTTTTCCCTCCTGTGTCAGCACCATAGTCCTCTAACCAGTGATATCATTTGACCTCTGGGAGCGGCAGGTCCAGGGGATGCCAAGCCCATAGACCCCATCCGTCCTTCAGGGTAAACTGGAGGCAGCTTCTTCTACTCCCAGAGTATTTGAATCTGGACGGATGGAAGTGCATCATAACTGCTGAATTCACCAATATCTCTGTGTCCCATCATATGTAAGGCACTCTGCAAACAGGCGTGCTGGAGCCAGCTCGTCCTGGCTTCTAAGAGCCAATTTTTAAATTTTCAAGAATTTCTCGAGTGGCTGAAATCACATTAACAGCTTGAAATCAATCACGGTGGGGGTATTTACCCTACAGACATTGGCAAACTCTACAAATCAGGGAGGCATTTCCTCAGAGAGCTGGTTGTTAAACGTTTACCAGCACACCACTGAACAAGCTGTCAGTGATGCGAGAGAGGCGGAGCTGTACAGAAACAGGCCCTGCCTTCAAGGAGCTGCACAGCAGGCCTGATGATGATTATGTAGAGAGAGTTGCAGATTCACAGTTGAGCAGTGAAAGTTCAAGTTCCAATGGCGTTACTCGTGGCAGGTCACTTTCCTTCTCTGGGACTCGGTTTCCTGTCTGCCAGATGGGAATTATAGCAACATTTCTCTGCCTTTCTCACTGAGTTGTTAGGAGACTCACTAGAAATGACACACGTGAAAGAAACACCACTGGGGTCTGTACTGGGCTGTTCCAATCATCACAGAAACATCTGGAAGGCATGAGACTGTCCCCTTCAGTGCCCCCAAGAAAGGATTTAACCACACCCAGGACTTGCTTGATAAATTATTAGAAGCCAAGATAAGCAACAATTTCATCTCCTGTGGTTAGACTAGAAGCAGCTTTACAGCCTGGCCCTGTCTGCTATTTCTCTGTGCCCCTCAGCAAGCATAGCATGGGACTCTGATCGTAGGTGGTGAATAGATGATTCAGGGGGAAGGCTGAGTGGGTTGGGGGTGGGTGGCTTGAGGTGAGCCCACCCACAAGAGCTGTATGCACGGGTGGGAGCAGAGACAGTTCCGTCTTCTCCCATCCACTGGCAGGGGACCACGGGGCTTTGCAGCCACTTGAATGATTAAATGGAATGTCCTAGATAGGCGGGGAGGAATGGCTGCTGCAATCACACAGCTTGGGTTAGGATCTTTTCCCTCAAAACATGCTACTCTAAAGAATAAGGCAAAGGTGACTCGCTTTATAGCCTGGGGATGTCGCCTCCAGCCCCTGGCGGGGCACCGTCTTTAAGGTCACCCCACCAGCCAGTTGTCCCGCTCATGTCTCCCAGTGCCTCAGCATCACCTCCTGCACCCTCTTGCTGCCCTTTCTCCACCCCCCACCCCCACCCCCCACCCCCGTGCAAGCCCATGGCCACAGCATTTACATCTGGAACCACACACTCTGTAGTGTAATTATAGGAAAGTATTTGCATCTTTTTCTCTAATGATTTAATAGTCTGTCTTCCCCACCAAATTGCAAAACCCTGGAAGGCATGGAATGTTGTCAACTGAATCTGTGTCTCCTCGGCTTCTAGGCACCTGGGGTGCTCGGGAAGTCACAAGGGCCACCACTGACTGAGTGCTTGCCAGGGATGAGACCACACTTTGCACGTTGGATACATCTCCGGGGAATTCAGAAGGCAGCCAACCTGACCGTGCTGGCTGGTTCCTTACAACGATCTAATGGGGCAGGAGAGGTAAGCAGATCCTTTTTACAGCCAAAGAAACTGAGGCCAAGAGGGGTTAATGACGACGCACTTGTCCCAAAGCACAAAGTAAGCGGCAAAGCCAGAATTCAAACTTTGATCCATCTTAAAAATCCATGCTCTTGGCTGGGCGCGGTGGCTCACGCCTGTAATCCTAGCTCTCTAGGAGGCCGAGGCGGGCAGATTGCTCAAGGTCAGGAGTTCAAAACCAGCCTGAGCAAGAGCGAGACCCAGTCTCTACTATAAATAGAAAGAAACTAATTGGCCAACTGATATATATATATATAAAAAATTAGCCGGGCATGGTGGCGCATGCCTGTAGTCCCAGCTACTCAGGAGGCTGAGGCAGCAGGATCGCTTGAGCCCAGGAGTTTGAGGTTGCTGTGAGCTAGGCTGACGCCACGGCACTCACTCTAGCCTGGGCAACAAAGCGAGACTCTGTCTCAAAAAAAAAAAAAAAAAATCCATGCTCTTAACTACCGTATTAATAAGCAAAACAGATAAGCTGTGAGTCTAATGAGCAAGTAGCGCTGTGGCTTTATCCCCACTTAGCAAAGTAAGAAACTGAGGCAGTAGGTGCGTAAGACAACCAGGCAGCCTGTACCTACCGGGGAGGCAGATCTCTGCAGAGTGTCACCTGTGGAGAGCTGCTGGGTGGAGAAGAGAGGGCCTGGAAGGTGCTGGCGTCCCAGACCAACAGCTCTTGCTCTCGGGCAAGTGCTGGCAACGTCGCCGCAGGAAGACTTTGGGCTCTGACGGCTCCTTTGTCCTCTTTGTTACGTTGGCTCTTCAACCCGGTGTGACTTGGTACAAGCCTCCATTTCGGATCTGTTTTTCTTTCCTCCTTCCCTTTTGTTCCTCCTCATGGAGAGCCCGGGGTATTTTTGGGTTTTTTGTTTTTTCACTCTCTCTCCTGCACTGCATGACTGCGACGGAATGTTCCGGGAACATCTAGTCAGAGGACACAGTGTGCTCCGAGGCCTGGGTACACGCTGTCCTCCCCGGCCAGGCAGCCCCCAGGGGCTGTGGGCATGGCAGCAGCACTGGCCTCCAAGGGGTTAACGGCAGCGGCTGGGGCCACTGGGTGGGCCTGGTCCAGTCCCTCGGGGCAACCCCCGGGGATCTGGGGACCACAGGACACCAGGGCCACATGGGTGCTGTAAACCCAGAGCAAGGACCCAAACTCAGATGAAGGCCAAAGGGCCCCACCTCCAAGTCCCACTTCTCCCCGCCTCGGCCTTCAGAAACCCCCACCAAGCTCAGGCGACGCTGGTGATGCAGGATGTCTCAGTCCGTCCCCGCCGCAGCTCTCTGTCCGCAGACCCACCGCGCTCTCCTTCAGCTACACCCCCGTAGGAACTCCCCCATTGTTTGATATTTCTTACATGCCAGCCTCTGTGCTAAGGACTTCCTGTGTAGACTTGCCAGATAGGATTCAGGACACCCATTTAATTTGAATTCTAGATAAACAATGATTTTTTTTTTTTAGTATAAGTATGTCCCATGTAATATTTGGAAATACTTAACTGTAGCCAATAGTTATTATTATTATTATAATTATGTTTAGAAACTGGGTCTTACTCTGTCGCCCAGCCTAGGGTATAGTACTATGATCATAGCTCCCTGCAACCCCAAACTCCTGGACTCTAGCATCTTCCAGTCCTCCTGCCTCAGCCTCCCGAGTAGCTAGCACTTCGGGTGTGCACCATCACTCCTGGCTAATCTTTAAATTTTTTTTGTAGAGACTGGGTCTTAATATGTTTGCTGTCCAGGAGGGTTTCCAACTCTTAGCCTCAAGCAGTTCTCTCGCTTCACCCTCCCAAAGTGCTGGGGTTACACAGGCGTGAGCCACCACATCCAGCCAACTAATAGTTATTATTAACATAGTCTTTTACATAAGAGGAAACTTAAGTCACAGAGTTGCTGAGCAAGAGAGTCAGGATTTGAACCCACCACGTTCTGATTCCAAAGGCTATGCTACAACCACTGTAGCTATGTGGCCTCAGGGTAGTGATATGTCACGAGTAAGCCTGAAGTCTCTGAAGACAGCCCAAAGTCAAGGATTTAGAACTATGCCTGACCTTGGTGACAGCTAAAACTGCCTCTTTATGGCAAGATAACAACGCCTTGTCCACCGGTGCTTTGCAGAACCCTTTGCTAAGTGCCATCTGCATAGCATTTCAGGGATGTAGACCGGGCAGCCATTGCCCCTAGATTTCTCATGCACGGGCTTCAGAGAAGTAAAGTGTTGGGTCCACAGAAGTTTGGGGTGAGAACTGGGATTAGCACCCAGGTGCACTAGTCCTGGTCCGACATTCGTTCCCCTGTAAAACCACTGTGAGCCACAATCTTTGTGGGGACGGATGAGAAGGTGCAAAAAGTTTTCAAACTCATGGTAGGAGTCCTCTGCCGCTCAGTGAAGAGAAAGAAGTCACACCTTCTCTGTCTCACGTTTGCCCCGAGGGATGGGCTATGTGTTCCGGTGTCTACAGAGCTGACATTTAAAATACTGAACAACCCACTGGGCACAGGCATGACCAATCAGAGGGGCCCCCGGCCATGGTGCTGGAGGAGGGCTCAGAAGACCCCCCCTGGTGGCCAAGGTTTAGGCCTGTGATGACCAAATGCCCAGGAGGTCTGGGGGAAGGGGACCCAGGGAAGAGACCAGGGCAGCAGGAAGAGCTCAGTGGCTCTTTGCCAATCAGGAGAAACATGCTTCGGTATTTTAACAGCATAGACATATCTGTGTGTGTCAGGGAACCCCGGACTCGTGTATCAGGGTGTTTGGCAAACAGACTGTCTCCATCCACTAAAGAAAGAAAGAAAGGTTGAGGGATAGAGTGTTTGAGTCCCCTCTCACTGTGAACAATGGGGCCGTCATAACTGCCTGTAATTAAACCGTCAGATATGGAGGGCCAGTCCTGTCCGTCCTAACAGGTCCTCGCTGCCACATTCTGACAAAACATGGTCAGCTCGTGTTATTGTGATTTCAACAAGCCTGGAATAACTGTGCTATGCTGCCTCAAATAAGTAGGAAGAATAATTGTGAACAGTTTTTAGAAAGAGCCCTAGACTGGACATCAAGAGGGCTTAGATGCTAGTACTGTTCTGTTCCTGACTTTGAGATGTTGAATAAGCCATTCTCTGATTTGGACTAGTAAAATGAAAGAACTGGGTGGTAGATTAGCTGTGACTCTTTTCGGTTGCAAATAGACAACTCAAACAGGCTTAAGCCCAAAACTGGATGTATTTGTTCACATAATTGAAAAATTCAGAGATCAGTTAGTTTCAGGTACAGCTGGATCCAGGGGTTTAAGCAAAGTTTCCATGATTTGGCCTCTTCCTCACACTCTCACGATCAGGCATGCCATATGGTGACTCCAGTAGCTCCAGGCTGACATTGTCCTTACAGCTAGCACTTCCATTAGAAATATAGTTCTATTTTAATAGATCCCCCCCCCAAAAAAAATTCTCTTTAGACTGATGAGATTCATGTGTCCATCCTAAATGAAGTCTCAGGGCTGGAGGAATAGAATATACTCATTGTCTGGGCCTGGGTTGTATGTCTGCCCTTTGGAGGTAGGGGCAGGTCAGCCCCATCCAAAGGTCTTAAGGTATAACAGTGTTAGTTTCCCAGAGACAAATCAGGGTGCTGCAAGCAAAAGAGGGGGAAAGGGAGAAGGGATGCTGATGCTGGGAAGGCATGAATAGCAGGTGTCCGCTACAGATGGCTTCCACTTCTAAAAATCTATGATTTTAGGGATAAGGTTTTCTGCTTTCTATCTTCTGGTAGCACATGGAGGAGAAGGTAGTGTTCTCGTTTGAGCTCTTTACTATTTCTTATTCCACCCATCTTATCACAGCCATGTGTCTCCTTGGGAAGAGGGCAAAATAAAGCGTTGGCCTTGCAAAAAGTAAAAAAAGGACTAGGTGCAGTAGCTCACACCTGTAATCCTAGCACTCTGGGAGGCGGAGGTGGGAGGATCACTTGAGGCCAGGAGTTCAAAACCAGCCTGAGCAAGAGTGAGACTCAGTCTCTACAAAAATATAGAAGAATTAGCTAGGCGTGGTGGTGCACAGCTGTAGTCCCAGCTATTTGGGAGGCTGAGGCAGGAGGAGCGCTTGAGCCCAGGAGTTTGAGGTTGCTGTGAGCTATGATCGTGACACTGTACTCTAGCCTGGGCAACAGAGTGAGACGCCGTCCCCAAAAAAAGAAAAGAAAAAGTCAAGCCAAAAAGCCACTCTTCAGTGGCATTTATGGAAGATCTTCTGGATCATCCTTCCCAAACTGCGGGTCTCCGTGCAAACAACGAGCCGTCATAAGCAGGGAGGTGTTGGACATCATCTGCATCGGTCACTGTCTGAGCAGCCACGTTTTCCCTCATAGAGCAACGACATTTTGCTCTTCTCCCCTTCCAGAGGCATTTACTCTGAAGAATCCTCCGGTCCTTAAATGCAGCTCCAGGCTGATTTGTATGCGCTAACGGTGACATGCACCGTCTGGTTATAACCAGGTCCAAACGCCAAATGGTGAACTTGTTTTGAGAAAGTGCAGTTTTGTGAACAACAGGAGAAGGGAAAATGTTAATAAAGGGCAGTTCGCTGAGTGGAGGTTAAATACTTTCATACTTCTCAGCTAACCCGAAAACTTCCCTGAATTCTCATTAAAAAGAAAAAAAAAAAGAAATAAAAAAGTTCTCCGTAATCTGATGTTTTACCTCATTAAATGCTGCAATTTGAGAAGCAAGAAAAGGACTGAGTTGAAAATTGGCACCTGGTTCAGGTCACTGAGCTGTTATTCTGTGTCTGGCGGGCCTGGCTTCCCCGGAGGGGAGGGCTCAGCAGAGTGACAGGAAACTAAGCAGGGTTTGAGATTTCCTATGGCCTCCCGGAAGCCTGCTCCTCTCCCAGCCCCAATCCGCAAAGCCTATTCTGTCCCTTCCTCCATAACTCTCTGTTGCTGCCTGGGACTGTCACATTCAGCCAGGGCC